TGCGGCAAATTCCAAGGCACTCCCGTCCTGCGACACAGCAGCCAGGAAAACGTCCTTGTCCGCCCTCAACTCCTCTGCGGCATATTTCAAGGCACTTCCGTCCTGCGACACAGCAGCCAGGACAAGGTCCTTTTCCGCCCTCAACTCCTCTGCGGCATATTGCAAGGCACGGCAGTCCTGCGACACAGCAGCCAGGACAAAGTCCTTGTCCGCCCTCAACTCCTCTGCGGCATTTCTCAAGGCACAGCCGTTCTGTGACACAGCGGCCAGGACGACGTCCTTGTCTTGCAAGGCCCTGCGTGACTTGTTCCTCACCCTCTCCTCCGAGTGGTTTGAAAGGAACTTCTCGAGGACACCACATCCAAAGACTTTTCCAAATTCGCCATCTCTCTTCAAGAGTAAAGAAATCATGTCTCCCTTCAGCTGCTGGATGAAGACCTCGGAAAAGTGTGCTGGCCGGGAAAGAGAAGGTGGCCAATGATGGCCGAAACTTTAAAGGCAAGTTTGGTCTCCCAAAGCGCGCAAATGGCCCTACACATTCGACAATATCGGGGTGGGTGCTGAACCGAACCGCAAACCCCGAACCGCGAGCCGAACCGAAAACACGTGAGTTTCATTGACAACGAACCGGAATTGCGACGAGCCGCAGCGAAAAAGAACGGAACCGACCAAATCAAGCGAAACAACCTGACTTCTTCTTCGCCCTCGTGCCCTTCAAGTTATAGCTTGTTCCCTCGGGCTGATGGGGGGCTTTGAAACGATGAAGAGCATTCTAAGCTGCCCATATTTCTCGCAGTGCGGGGCCCTAGTGCTCTGGGTCGTTGGTTCAGAATGCTTTTCGGGCGAGATGAAGCTGTGGCGTGAAAGGAGGTGGGTCCACAAGTTCTAGAAGCACCCACCTTGGACCCTAAGAACCACCTCTGGCATCTTTCAACATCATGTGTTAATCAACTTTGTTAGTTTTGTTGCCACAGATCATTGAGTCTGGCAGTAAGGCACATTCACACCAAATCATTTCCCTTCATATGAGTTGAAATGATCATGAACATGACATGATATACGATGCATGTCACATGATACATAAAACGATATGGTGATGTATGGACTTGGACTTTAAAATTGGATTGTGATGTATGAGCCAAGTGCTATGATATTGTGTTAAATATCCCCGTGTGAATTCCAGTGGAGGCTGGGGGTCCCAATTTTAGAGAGAACTCACTTGAGAGGTGCACCAAAAGTCTCTATAAAACGATCAAACCAGCCTCAACCCCACAATGGGTAGTCTATAAAATAAAATGTGGGCACCCACCCTCGAGCTTAAAATCGAGATGTCTAAAAATAATTCTCTATGAAATCAGGAACGACATGAGAAATGACTCGAGTGTACCCAAAATAGGCCTTACCCTGAACCCTGATTCTATAGAGAAAACAGTGCACATAACATTGTTCAACATGTTTTGACCACGGTTTTTCCGTTTCTGTCCGACAACTCTCCGTTTATATACATCCGATGTTTGCGCCATGCCTAAGAATGTAAAATGCACAAAAGCCAAGTGCAGCACAGACATCAAATTGCAGAAGTGAAATTGACAACGCATTTTTTCTTGTAGCTTGTCCATATTCCAGTTTCTTGACTGTTTGATGTCTAGTCATCTCTTCTCTATAAAATCAAGAATTCAGCATCATAATGACGTCTCTATAAAATTGATGTTTTTTTCTCTAAAATTGGGGCACCCACCCTCCTCATATATCATCGACTTTACTCGTCCACACTCTCTATAAAATCAAGACTGATATCCAAAAATGTTGAATATCTAGGAACAGCTTGTTTTTTTTTAACATTTTATAAGGGGAACTAATTTTAGATCCAAAAATGCACATAAGAACCATGTTTCTCTATAAAATGCCCTTGATTTTGGGCACCCAGGGTCCCCAATTTTCCAGTGTTTATTGCCAAGGGGATTGTTAAATGATATTGCTTTCCGCGCAAGAGGCATTCCCACTGCCTGACAACGGGCCACTCAGCCATCAAACGCCAAGACGCACAACCAAAGACGCCAGGAAAAGCCAAGACACTTCAAGCCTTCAAACCAATCCACAAAAGAGAATAGCCAAGCTACCATACAAAAACAACAGAAAACAACATAGGCAAACCGACCCTTTGGACCACAAGTCCATACTGCAAGTAGTTCAGCTGTGGTTCGTTCAGGGGAGGGTTGTGTGGTTCGCCCGCAAAAAATGCATTGCACGAGGGGCTAAAATCGGCGTCGACCCACTAAAATCTTGGCAACACCTTCGCAACAACAGTGCACGTTGCGCCAAAGTTGTGGGAAATGAGCTGGGTGAGAAAAACGCACGCGCACGCAACAAAGCAGCTCTGAAGTTGTATAGACATGTCAAACCTTCAAAAGAAGTGACAACAACATACCAAAGGTCTCCTTTGTTGCTCCTTCCAAAAATGACATGGACATCAATGAATGAATCTTGGCTGCTAAGCCACTGAGTGCTGCTTGAACTCATCAGACGCAAATTCCAAGGCCGTAATCTCATTCACCACTGCGTTCAAGACCACTTCTGGGTCTGCCTTCAAGTGAACATCCGCGAATTCCAACGCCCTGCCATGTTGTTGAACTGCGGCCAAGACCATCTTCTTGTCCTGCTTGAACTGAACATCCGCGAATTCCAACGCGCTGCCATGTTGTTGAACTGCGGCCAGCGCCACCTCCTTGTCCCGTTTCAATTCAGGATGCGCAACCTGCAGGGCAAAACCCCCAACTTGAACTAGTTCCAGCATGAAAGCCTTGTCACTGGTACACGTTGCCAAGCGATGCAGTGTTGCGGACGCAACGAGCTGACCGTCTGTCCTCAAGTCTTCACATGCAAATTCCAAGGCAGTAGCACATATCTCCACGGCTGCGAAAACTACATCCTTGTTTGCCTTCCATTCCTTCGATGCATATTGCAAGGCAAACGGATTCTGTTGCACGGCTGATATGATGAATTCTTTCTCCATCGTCAATTCTTCGGGCACAGAACCTAAAGCCCTGGCATCTTCCCTGACTGCTGCCAGAACAACCTCTCTGTCCCTCTTCCAGTGATCTGATGCATGTTCCAACGCTAATCCTTTCTGTCGAACTGCGGCCAAAACGATCGCCTTGTTGGCCTTCAACTCCGGAGCTGCCAACCGCAACAAATCGCCGTTCCCTTGCACGGCGGCCAAGGCTACGTCCCTGTCATTCTCCAACTCCTTCATGGCCGCCTCAAACACAGTCTCCCCATACCGTTCTCTCTGGAATAGCTCAAGCAACTCCAGCTTGCGCGCAAAGACCTTGGGCCGGAAGTGTGATTCGGACAAAACAGTTGTTCAGGCTAGGTCTGTTATAAGGTCTGATGCTACAAACATGCCTGGAGTCTCTCACTACAAATCCAAGTTGCTTTCATCTCCGGATCCTCGGTCATTGCTTCACCCGCAAATCCAAATGCCCTCCAGTTGCTCCGGGCCGCAGCTGTGACGATTTCTTTATCCTCTTTCAAAGCACCAGGTGCGGCTTGCAAAGCCATTCCATTTTGCTGCACTGCTTCCATGACCATCTTCTTATCTTTCAACTCTTCTGGCACCAATCGCAGGGTCAAGCCGTTCCTTTGGACTCTTCTGAGCCAGTCTTCTCGTGAGACCTCCACTGCTTGGGCTGGCAAGATGCAATTTTCAGAAACATTTCGATCTGAGAAATGAGACTGACCCTAGCCCATCTGAGTGATCCCCCACACTCATGGCGAGTGAAGCGCATCCCACCCTCTAGACATCCGCGCACGCAATCCAATATCATAATAGAACTGATGCGGAAGCGCCCGGCCGATAGTGTAAAGGTTCAAAACTCAGTCAAATTGGCACTGAGGACATGAACTTGGAGGAGGAGATAGCCACAAAGGATTGTGTTTCAAACATCGCGATTCGGCTTCATTGGAGAGTGGCGAGGTCTAAAGGTGCTTTGTCATTTAAGACATGGCAAGTATGACAAACTCAGAATTGTCAAGGCAACACCCGTGGACAAGAACCAGGGCTTTAAAGGAAGCGAAGTTGCCCAAAAATGGTCAAGCCTTTGTCATCTTGGACAAGTGTGAGAAAGGAAGGAAATCATGCGTTTTGCTTTATCAGGACCTTACGTGTCCCTTTCAGTGGCGGATCGGGTTGAGACAGTTTGTAGAACACGAGGAAATGTACGAATGAGGAGGGCGGCTCAAAGAGCATGCATAGAGCACAAAGCGAAGGCATCTATGCAGCGAGTCCACAATTACTCAGAGATTTCAAAGCAAAAGACACTAATTATGTGTACCTGCTCCTGCTTCCGAGATAGAAAAGGAAACACGACCTTGATCCCTATAGAGAACACTTCGGTTGCATCAAACACCGAATTTACAACAAAGTGTAATCTGTTTGATCTCCATGCGTGGAGAACTCTTGAGAGCAGCCTGAGAAACATGCAGAGTTGCACTAAATGTCGAAGCTGCATACACAGAAGAGGCAATGAGAGGATGCGGCAGAGAAATGACTGAAGAACGGAATAGATCCTCAAAAAGGAAGGGCTAGAGAGACGCTCGTGGAGGAAGGTGAGGCTGAGACGCACAAAAGGAGAAGAGTTACGGAAGAGAGTCTAAAAAGACCAAAGCACGAGCGAGGGTTCGACGGAAGCTCAAAAGGGGGGCTTGAAAGGACACAAGAGAGAGAGATAGCGAGAGAGATAGCGAGAGCTATATAAGGAGAAGGCAAAATGAGGAACATGAAGACCGAGACGATTACATCCAACAGAACCCGCACAGAACCTCGACAAAGGCGCAGCGGCAGTGAGATAGAAAATGAACCGAGGCTGAGGATAGAACAAAGGTGGCTATCCAAGCTACAGCAAATTCAAGTCAAATCACATCTCAGGAGTATCAAAGAAGACGGAAGAATCAATCGAAAGATTAAGACAGATCGATGTCTTGCAACCGCCTGGACAACATTTCAGATTTGGAAGACTTCCTCACTACGCCCAGAACCCATATCAACTTGAGATCATGCTGGAGGCCACGGGGAAGAAGAAATGGATGAAAAGGACACATATGACGAGTAGATTCAAGACAGAAATGTGAGACTCAAAATTATGACAGCGGACAAGCCATGACAAAAGCATGCCTCATAGAGGAGTGAAACCAAAAAAAACCAAACGAACACCTGTGCACTTGCGTAGCGCTTGTTTCACCAATGAGACTGTCATCCGCTCCCAGAAAGCCTTCACAAACTGGCCGGTTTTTGAACCCACCTCCTCCAGCAATTGTCTTCCTCCTTCTTCATTCGCAAGTCTTTCCTGTCGCTGTGGCTTACGAACTAGGATGTGACAATTCAGCAAATGTTACCCACTTGAGATGTGAATTTGAACAAATTATATAGTAGTGTCTGATCTTCTTCCTTTCTGCACACACTTTACAAGTGCATTCCTCCAGTTTCTTTCTCTTCAGCTCTTCATTCGCACGTTTTTCCTGCCACTGTTGGCAAAGCATGCAAAATCTGCAAATGTACTTCCACACACTGTGATGTTCCAACTGATTCTATCTGCTGCAACAGAAAACAACATTGTGGTGGCCTGTTATGTGGATTCTCTATTGAATCTGACAAACGTGAAAAAACAATGTTACAGGTCTTGTTTGAGGTCTTGTGCTTTATGTGCCAGCCTGGGTGTCTGTTGAGGCTGACGCTGGGAATCAACTGCTGTCTCGAGCAATCTTTGATTTCATGTTGTTCAAAGTGGGAACGATTGGACACCTCAGCACCCTGGACCGAACATGCTGTTGTGAGGGTAGCTTTGAAGGCTCTTGCGTGCCATATCAGGCCATACCATGACAAAGTTGCGATGTTACGATTAATACAGGCGACTATTGTTGGGGAAGATTTCATGGGTAGTTTCTTTGTGATAATCATTGGATGCATATCGGCTCAAGTGTTCAGAGTTTCTAAATCCATGTCGTGTTGAATCCAGGGCCTTTCGTGAATCATGTAGCTTTTCTTCCAGAACTTTTGCAGAAACTCAAAAGTTGCAGAATCAAGTAGTTTGCATTCACTTCCTTCATTTTGCGAACAGACCGCTGGGTGGCTTCGCTGGTCGCGCGGCAAAGAAGCAGCCTTTGATTGCGGTCCGCCTTTGAGACACCAGGGATACGTCTACACCAGGGATACTTGCCAGGCACTGGGTATACCGCTTAGGACGCGCCTGAAGAGAGTCGAGTTCTGGCTTCGGAAAAGAACGTGGTGCTAAAGGAGCTCTGTTTGCCAACTCGGAAACAAGATTGGGACACGCTTGTGGTTCTACGGGTTGGATGTTCTTCAGGGGCTCTCCATTGACAACCCCTTTGTCTTCAGGCGCTGCACTGGGTTCCCATGCGATATGGCAAATGGTTTCTTGATATTTTTGGGAAAGATTAAGGTCGACGCCTGATAGGCAGTTCTTTTGCATTTCATCCGCAGTCAGGCGACGCACATTCCAAACTCATAGCTATAAGAAAAGGCATGGTGTGATTTGGCAGCATGGTACAGCAGGTTGCATGGCGGGTACATGTCAGATGAATGATCACCTTATTGATGATGGTTGCTCGATATGAGAGCAAGTGTGCGCATACGGCAGAATTCAGCCGAGGGACACATCAGCTTGCGGCTACACCCCGTGACAGGATGCGAATGTGCAACCGGCAGCGTAGCTTGCTTTTTTTCAGCACACTGAAGCAAAAGGTTTGAATGGATCGAACTTTGAACAACAAGGTCAACAACAACAGCATCTGATCTTAAAGGCACACATATGTTGTTGCTTTGCTTCGATGCTATGTTGATGCACCTCAGTTCTGGTGTGCTTTTCCAAATTCGTGCGTCGTGAGGCTGAGCGCCCTTGCAAACTCGGGAGAGTTCAGGGGCGGGGTGCTCTGCATCGTAAACTTGTGCGGCGAGAGAGTCGGGAGGAAGAGAGCATCACCACACATTGCATCATGGCATCAGGATGAGATGAGCATGACCACTTGGATTGAATCCAGTGACAAGCATCAGTATAAGCATTTCAACAAGCTCGTGCTGGAGATTCTTTCCGAACTCCTAACGGAGCAAGAAACGCCCAACTTACAACGGTATCCAGATCCAAAACAACATGTCTCTTATTGCAGAAGGGCCCACAGCCTCTGCAGCTTCTGCTTGTTCTTGGGCCTACAAAAAGGACGCAGAAGTAGGGAGCTAGTTTTCCAATGCATCTTCAACTATGTCCAAATTCGTGACTCGATGGTAGCATCACCCTCTCATGAACAAAGAGCAGGACCTCCTGAAGTTGCCTTTTCAGGATGTCCACTTGCTCCTCACTCAGTTTTGCAGCGTGCGAACTTGTAACCACTTCCCTGCTGTCTAGTTAGTTATTTGAGGAAGGTGGTCCAAAGGTGGCAATGCTTCCTCAAGCTCAAGAACATGTCAACCAATGCGTGTTCAATTGCAGGCCTCAGAGATTTATATACCCGCACTCCAGGATCATCCTAATGGTTCTGTAGTTGAATCAGAGGGACAAAAAAGCCACGCTGCTGAAGACCATGTCCTGCAATTGTGTCACTTCCGTCGCAAATTCTTCACGCAAAGAGGCCTTGAAGGCATGTTTGCAGCACAGCAACACATCATCAGTGCCAAATCCAAAGGCACGGCAATCCACGCAACACAGCTTCCATTCGGCGGTCTATTCTGTTTGATGGGACAAACGCTTCAAAAACTCAGAGGGCACCCAATGTCAACAGAATACCTTTGGAACCTGAGTTGTTTATAGGTTGGACGACTGTGATATCTTGCATGACCGTCGCGTGATAAGTGCTGCATCCAAGCATCCTCCAAGTTCCTTTTGATGTTTTCAATCATTGCTTCAGCTCCTTTGTCCTTCGGCAAAAAGGATTACACAGAGTCAGTGCCACTGGCCGCATGCGACAGGACTTCATCAAGAAAAACCGTTAGTTGCCTGAAGCATTCCCAATTCTGCGTCGTTCGGCATCATAGCATGTCTCTGAGATACCTCGCTGCAAATGCCACAGGGCAAAAGACGCTGCAACTAAGAAGATTAGAACGCCTTTAAAGAATGCGCAACAATACTTGAAAGAACCAAGCGGTATTTCCCTTTTGACACCTGCAACCGCTGTCTTGTTGCTGCCCTCTTTGAAAGGAGCTAAGCCACCATGGTGGCTGAATGCTCCCTTGCTTGCTCATCTTCCTTTCACCGTAAATGTGTGCTTTCGAGCCTGCTGAAGGCCAACGTGTAGTTTGTGGACAGCGAGCGCGCTAAGTTGAAGCCCCCTTGATTGGAACCAAGAAATTGAACAAACAAGAAGACGAAACGGACACATAAAGAAAGTGCATGTGCACATGCGACATGATGGATGCTGATCCTCCTCTGCCTACTTCCTTCTTTTCCTGATCCTCACTGATCTCCTCCCTCCCTCCTTGCCCTCTCCCCTGGCAGCTCTTGACGACATGGGTCGCTCTCCGGCTTGCGTTGGTTTCTCTCTTATCCCTTTTCTCTCCTTTTGTTCAAGCATCAACATATTGGCAGTGAATTAGTGAAATGGTGTGGCTCTCCTCCAGTGGCTTAACTTTGCGACAGGAACCTCAAGCCTCTTAAACAACCTCTAGTATGTATGTTTGCTATGAATTTGACAACGGTCCAGCTTGAGCAAGCATGAGTAGCCAGGCCTCTGGAGCTTCTGGCATCTTCGGTGCCCCAGGTCCCAGGAGGTAGCACATGATGTAGGAATAGTCATAGCCCTGACCTCAGTGACGCTGAGACCTGGTGGTCTGGACAACACATGCCCTTCGGTCTCACTATGTCGGATGGCTTGTTGAGAGAAAAAAAGGCAGATGCATGGCAAAGTCGAGAACACACCTGCTGACTAAAGCGCAAGAGGCAGAATAGAACCGGAGAAATCCTGCAACTGTTCACTTGCCTTGCCAACACTTAAGTTGAATGAGCCACCAAACCAGTTCTGAATGTTGAATCCATGTGCTTCAAGTCAGGAGTGCCATCGTTTGTCTTTCTGCCAGCAACTATTTCCTTTAGTCAAGCAGCCATTAAAGGGTGCATTCTCCAGCAACGCCTGCGTAGAAATTAGCTGCATGACTTTCAAAGGGAAGCTATCCATGGTTCTGAGGGGAACTGGAGTCTTCAAGCGAGCAGGACAACAAACGAGCACAAAACTGAAACAAGTCTCCTCCAACTTCTCGTCTGGAAAGCTGTTGCCTCGGGGATGTTGGGCGAAAGGCAGACATGCAAGCGACATGTGGAGCAAAGCTCCTAAGCGCAAAGAATCCGACCATCGAAGCGCATGATCTCAGTGATCTTCTCCCGAGTCAGGAAACCTCCACCAGCTACTTTAGTCAACTCGCCAGCGTTCACATTCCCCATGATTTGATATGCGATGCTTCAAGCTGCTCACAGCTACCAAACCAAATCAGAATTTGTTTCATGCCTCTTGATTTGCCTTTATACAATCCTTTATCTAAAGGATGGCGTGCAAGTTTCACGATGCTCCGACCAGTGGTCCCAGCAAGACACCTGTTTTCTCGGTATCGAAGATCTCGAAGCATCTTCGGAGTTCTTCCACCTAGAAATGTGCTTTTTGAAAGCAAAGCAACAGCGCGTCACTTCACGAAGTGGCGCAATCCTTCTTCTTGATTCTGTTGAAACCTAAATTGAATGAAATCAGTCATCCACCATCCGTCCTGTCCTTCCCAATCTGCACCTGGTCCTTGGAAGACCACTCCTTGAGTGCTTCCTGCGATGCAAGGTCAGGTGGACTTCTTTGGCCATCCAGCTGTGCAAGGGTAGAAGTGAGCAACCATGAGAGACGGAAATACTCGGAATCCCCTGTCTGTGACAGCTTCTGTGTGTGTGCACCTTTTGCTACAAGTCATATTAGGTCCATCCGTCGTCCTTTTCCAAAGTCGCGTCCTTCATGGCACGAAGGAAGATTGACCAGGTGAAGACCTCTGGCTTTCTTTCGCCACCTGCGCACTTTGCTTCAGCATCTTGGTGCAGCTGCCTTTTTTGTCTCAGACGTGCTCCGAATAAGAGAAGAGCTGCTTCTCTGAGAGGTCACAGAAAATCCAACCCTTGAAGTTCCAACAACAAAAAGCGGAGCTTTTGACCCACAGCTCAGAAGCTTGACGACCACAAACACGCTCAAAGGATGGCTTGTGGAACAAACACACCAATCACCAATCTGCCTAAATTTTGATGTCAAAAACTCTCGTTACATGTTGAAAGAACTACATTGGCAAAACAATTGCTTTCCATGCAAACCTCCAGAAGCAAACAGCACAACAAGGACTTTGCCTCGGAATCCTTTGGATTCATCGAGGCAGCGCGCATGGCATCCGCCAAATGGCAGGCATTCATATAGCCAGGTGGATCCTGGACAAGAATGACATCACGTAAAAAGCACACAAGGTGCCATTGAGCAGAGATGGTCAAGACATGTCAAAACCATCCTTTCTGCATGCAGAAACTTTCCGACAAAACATTGCGACCATCCAAGTTGTCACTGTGGTCTGACGTGTCTGAAACAAACGGAAATCAGCTTGCAATGAATGGGACTCAAGCCGAAAAGGGACACCGAACAGGGCTTCCTGCATGATCCGCATTTCCTCCAGTGAAGGTTCATTTTCGCGCCGGGTTTGGTCCTCAAAGTTCTCAAAGATGACCTTCAACTGTGCCTCAAAAAATCCGGATGGGGTCGTGGAATGCCTTTTTTTGGACAGGAACGAATGCCAAAAAACATGACCTTTGACAAGTTGGACGAGAAAGGGTGGTGACTACATGTCATATCCTCCCGAATACGGACGTCTCCTCATCAAAGGCAACATTTTCGAGTTCTCTCAGCCCATCCTATCCCGACGAATTGTGACGAGACGAAACAAATAAACAGATTTTGGTCTGGAACCGAAACCTATCCCTCTGAAGCAAAAAACACCGAGCGAACGAGCCGGTCAGGCCGGACGCGCCGTCCTCTCGGCGTCGGTCTAAGGCCCCGGGCGTCCGCGCTCGAAGACAATGCAGCCTGAGAGGTGGGTCTTTTCGGAGGAACAATCTGAGCTTCTTGTTACTACTAGTAAGGCACCTGTTACTACTAGCGTGGCACCTGTTACTACTAGCTTCTCGTTACTACTGCTGAGGCAAAGGTCACGCTGGGTCAGAAAGAGCCCCTTTGGCTTCAGTCTTCGGGAAGGCATGTACATGACACGGGAAGCAAAAGCATTCAAAAGGATTCCAGAGCGACATGGCATCTCAATGTGCCACACATCGAGCTGAGAACTCTCTCTTTCTGGGTCATGTGCGGTTTCGGAGAAAAGCTGGTCATCCATACTGACAGGCCTTGGAGGTGAACGAGACTTGATTTGAGGAGAACGACGTATCAATGCACAGCTAGCTGCCAATCTAACCACTGATTTGGGTCAATTTCATATCCAGTGGATCCAGTTGCCACTGTAGCCGGTACCCAGTGGTTCCAAAGACTAAAACCGAACGAGGGCCCCTGATTCCTCTTATACTTGGTGAAATTCCTGGAATCCACTGGGACATCATCGGGCTTGGACTGAGGCGGGCTGAGCGTCAAAGCTCTTCTTCGGCATCGGTCTCCATCAGGCTGAATCCATCCAGCTTGGTCTCACAGCGCACCGCTACCCGAGCTCGCTTTCAACAGCGCCTCTTGCGCCAGATTGTTGCGACTTGTAGTCTGTGGTACGCATGTTGGTTTTGTAAGGTGACTGCATGAAAAACCAACAGTTCTCATCAGAGTTATGCCTGTAAGTGGTGCAAAGTAGTGAAGTGGAGGAACGAACCTTGCAGAACACTTGCAGAACTGGCACTTGTCGCACTTGTCATTCCTACTTGAGATACCAATGTCACACTAACTATGATGCTCTCCCTCAGCTTGAGAAAAAGTGTTGTGAGCATACGCATCGGTCTTGCATTTCCGGCAAATTAAAGAAAAGTCTGGGATCAAACTATCTCATCCAATCGAAGTGCATGACAGGAAAATGATCACTCAATCCAAACGATTCATTCCATTCTGGTCCTACAAAAAGAGAAGCAAAAAACGTCTCAAAACAACGTGGCTTGAATGTCAAAAGAAGTCTTTGACCCATCAGGTCGAAAACTGGCCTTGATCGAAAAGAACACTCTTTGAATATGATGCCAACCCAACGAACACAAGTAGCCCGTAACGCATTTCAAAAACACCTTGTTTCTGAAGCCTGTAGTTTTCTGAAGTTCTCATGACTTTGTACACTACCAGCGAACAGATAGTCTTATAGACCAAATGGACACACAACTGTGAAAGGATTGAGGACTTTAATCACTGTCTGTGACCATTTCTTTGAGTCCATGTCCCATGTCCTGCTGTAGCCCACCGCGACTCCGCCGTGCGTCCCTTTTTGCCCGAGCGAAACACCGGTCTATCTGACCGTCCGTGGACGGCCGAGCGCGAGGGCTGCGGCAGCTAGAAACGAAGGTCGAAGAAATCTTCTCCAGTCACTCCGGCAGAAACTAGTAGCGTCCTTGTTCCTAGTAGTAAGGCCAGGAGCGCCTAGTAGCTTCTTGCTCCTCGGCAGAAATGGAGCCCAAGAAAGAGGACTCCTCTGTGTCGATACGAAACCACATGAGTCTCTATATTCATTTGTGGTAGTCGTCAAGGGCAAAGGCCAAAGTATGGTTTGGCTGGAGCCTTTCCAGGCCTCGAACGCTAACGACATCCGTTTGGAAATCACGCGTTGAAGGAAGTCATCCCAAACTAGAGAAAGTCGTTTTAAATGCTTAACTGCTTGTGAACCAACTGCCTACCATGGTTTTTGTGGTATTTGTGTGCAAAGCTTAAAATCAAACACCTTCCCAGAAATTTCTGCCCTCCTCGGGAAACAAACCTGGTGTTGGCAATCTACGATTCACTCACAGACTTTCTGAAGGCAAAACCACGAGAATCTAGTTTCAAACGCCGCCAAAAAGCACGCACAAAAAGCAGGGCGCCTTTGTTGCTCCCCCTTGTTTCTGCAAACTGGTCTGGTCAATAACTTGAATGCAATTCCTGACTTGGTGATACTTGGCAGTCAAATGAAGACACCAAATGCCTCCTGATACGGATTTGTTCACACGAGGTGTCCCTGCCGCGCCTTGGCCCATCCTGCTCGTTGTACAAGGTCAGCCCTTGATCCACATGAAGCTTTGAATCTCGGAAGGCAGGTCGTTCCAGCATGACCAGGTAATGCATGCTGGCTCTGCGTCCAGGTCCACTTCGCCTGTCAAAAGACCGTGCGTAGCATTCAAGTTTGACAACAACTGTGTTCAATGGCGCAATGTGCTGAACACACATTCACAACTCACAACATTCCCTTGAAAGCCTTGAACGTTTGCATCGTTTGCGGTATCTCATTCACCCGTGGCTAATGAAATGAAAACAGTTTCTCAAATGGATAATGTGGACTTGGGCAGAGCCAATACGATGGAGCAGCAACAGCAAAGAAGCATGATGCAGATGTGCTTGATGCTTCCCGCTACTAACCAATAGCCTATGTTGTGATTGCCAGGTAGATTAAGTAGACTGACTTCTTGCTATACGACGGATTGTGAACAAAATGCATCCTATCTGCAAAGGATTGGTGCTCTGGCGGCCTCTGAGCACCACCTCCTCATTTGCTGTCGTCACTGTCGCCACCTTGGTGAGGAAAACATAAAGCCTGCTTGCTTCACAACCCTGTGGGCAACCCCGTGGGCGCCCGCCGACGGTCTCCGAGGTGCCAGAATGATGCCGTCGGAGATCAATGTGCTGTTGGCGCGCGTGCCAACATTGGGATCCCACACGATCTCGCCGCTTTGGACGTGTGCCTGACACCATTCCCACGGCACCACAGCCCGAAGATCCGACCTTTTCCCAGCCACACACAAGGAGCCGCTGTCACGCTGACGAAACCCACGAGAATCCAGGCGAGTCCGAGCAGTTCCGAATCCCAAGCCACTTGCTTCCATTTGTGGCACAAAGAACATCTAGTTGCCAACTTTTCGGCCAAGGTTGCAATTCGGCATTTCGACTCATCATCAAACCATGTGGTGCCTGTAGCAATGCTCTAGGGCAATGGTGGCAGGAACCCTTGGAGAAGGCCTCATTTGTTGTCTACACCTCTTGACACCATGCTCTCATACAACCCCAAATCAAGCTGGCGTCACTACACTAAGAATTCCTAGCGTCCTAGTCAGGCAACAACGGTCTATAGAGCCTGATGACAATCTGCCCCAATGCTTCGCTGAAGCAAGGGGGGACTTTGGGGAAGTGACTGCAGCTCAATCTGTGCATGCAGCTGTACGTACTACTAAGGGGAAGAAACAGAACATTCGCAGTTGGATTTAGGTTTCTTGCAGGAACCCACAATTTTTAGATTCTTGGAATGGAGGTCGAAGGTGTTAAGGGCACTTTGCGAACGTTTTGAACGTTAAACGTGGAACACCAAGAACAAGTCGCACAACCATAGCAACAAAATTTGGCGCAAAGGCTGACTTTTGAACTAGTCGTGAAATAAATCGCATTCACCCTTGGCTGTAAGACCATCTTCATGCATCTTCCACCGTCCGCCATAACATGATTTCAGCTGCATGTTGTGTTTACAGTCCAGCCTTCCAGCCGATCCAAGATGGACTTACCCATACCCGGTTTAGCCTGCCGGAGGGCGACCAGTTGTCGATCAGTTCAGGGCAAATGGAGAATGTCTGGAAGTTCAAGCAAATTGGTTGCGCCGAAGCAAGACATGGATACGGATCTTGCACGTAACGTCTGATCACACGGGTTCTGACTTGCTGAAACCTTATTGTAACGGAAAAGGGAGGTCAGACTCCGCATTTTATCAGTCTCGATCGAGCCAACAAACTTCGCTCTAAGCAACTTGTTAACGACACCAACATCGGGCTTCAAATGAGATTCTGCCGAGATTTGCCTCACTCAGCCGCTGCAGCTCCTTCAAAGTTGCAAAGAATGCCTTCAAACATCGGAGGAGCACAGTCGAGGGCAGGATCACAGGCTTGCGATGCAGTGCCACATGTCAAGATTTTCCGTTTTCGCCTCTTGAACTTCGCTAGCCTCGTTGAATTTGCTCAAACTTGTTTTACGCGAGCTTGTGGTCAACATGGACCAGTGCCCCAATGAAATTCGCCAAAAAGATGTTAAAACAGTACCAAGAACTTCAATGACATTCCTTACGATCATACTCTGCTCCTATATTTGCAAAAGAGAACTGCTGCTGACATGGATCACTTTCACAAACCCCAACTCAAAAGTCTGGAGACTGTAGGGTGTCAAACATCTTCTTCCTTGCCTCCTTTTGCCGCCGGACTGCCTAGATAGAACTCACGCTTCTTCGTGTTGCCAAATCTCCAAATCCAGTGAATGTCCACAAGTGCAACTGCAAAACCACAGGAACCGTGATCCCACAGGTATCTCCACTTGCACAATTGGCTCGAGGCCTCCTTGTTCGCTTCCAAGAGCCCCTGGATCCCCTTTTTGACCTGTGGAGGGCTGAACGTGAAACCGCAGGGCCTTCACCGGCGGATTTGGAGTTGAAAGTCTCCGAGCCTCATCGCTGATGGCGGGATTTTCGTTCAAGTTCATGACAAGCACACGGCTGTTGTGTCGCAGGGCTTCAAGGAGAGCCTGGACGATGGGATTGGAGATGATTGGAGGACTGCGCGCCGCGGTGAAATCAAACTGAAGCTGCAAAAAACTACATTGAAACATATTGAAACTTAAAGCGCTGGATGGGGAACAAGATTGATCCGAACAATTACTTGCCATCTCGCCAAACCTTCCCCATTCGAAGCGCCTGGCCGCCGATCTCCCCAATCCTCTTGTCGTGGAGATAAATCTCTTGAACGCTGCGGTTTTCGCGGAGCATCTTTGCGACCGCCTCGGCCGACCGTCGGCGACGCCTTCGCTCAAAATTCCCGAAACCCGTGGCACCAAAAACGATCGGCCTGTGCGCCAGCGTTGCCAATGCCCTTGATTGGGTGGTCGTTCATATATTGAGCCGAATAATACTTGTCGCCAAGCACGATCACCTTCCCCTGTCTCAGGTACCAATCCGCCAGGATCTGCAAAAACGAGGAGGCAGGATAATACGAACGAAGAGACAACGCAAGGTGTAAATGCAGCATATCAAGAAAACGTTCTGAATTGCAAAGTTACCGCAAACGTCTAAAGAAACAATTGCACGCATGTATGCGACGCAGGAGGGACGAGAACATATTCATCACCAAAAAATGTGTTTCTGAATACGACTTTGCGATGCGGTTTTCCTGATCCGACATTCAAAACAACATCAGACCCACTCATTGGACCAAGGCAAGAAGGACCTCCGAGAAGTCATCTTACCAAGACGTACGACTTCCGATGTGCGGGACATTGCAAGGATTGATTGGGCTTGTGTGGGTGAGTTAGAGCCACAAGGAAGCGATAGCAGCAGGTTCGTGAGCGCGTCAAATCCGAATTCGAGCGTTTCGCGGCGTTGAGCGAGCGCTGGACTTGGGAAGCAGTTCGGGCTTGGACCATTGACTTCGAGTGTGTTCTTGCTCGAACTCAGGGGCATGTTTGAGAGAGGGGCCAGGCTTCATGACTCAACTCTTGGGCATTGTGCTTCAGGGGCTATTGCTTTTGGTGGTGGTTGGCACACTGCTTCTGCAAAGCTACAGGGGTTGATACAAGCAGTTCCCGGGCAAGCCGGCGGCGGAAGTTTCCAAAAGAATAAACCTATAGGAAATGGGCATGTGGCAGGCTGATTCGCCGAGCTGCGATGTTCTTTGACAAAACAAGTTGGAACCGACCAATGGAGCGAAAGCGAAGCAACCACCGTCAACTGTCTCGCAGGAAACAACGTTGTTCATGCATTTTTGCAAAATACAGAATAGAGATGACTCAGCCGCGTACTAAAGTTGTACTACAAAGTCGCCAGTTCTCAGCTTCCAGCTCCCCAGATTGCTCCGCGTACTAAAGTTGTACTAGAAAGACGCCAGTTCTCAGCTTCCAGCTCCACGACTTGCTCCGCGTACTAGAGTTGCACTACAAAGTCGCCAGTTTCCAGCTCCCCAGATACTCCGCGCACTAAAGTTGCACTACAAAGTCGCCAGTTCTCAGCTTCCAGCTCCACAGATTGCTCCGCGCACTAAAGTAGTACTACAAAGTCGCCAGTTCTCATCTTCCAGCTCCCCAGATACTCTGCGTACTAAAGTTGTACAAAGTCGCCAGTTCCCATCTTCCAGCTCCGCGTACTAAAGTTGTACTACAAAGTCGCCAGTTCTCATCTTCCAGCTCCACAGATACTCCGCGTACTAAAGTTGCACTACAAAGTCGCCAGTTCTCAGCTTCCAGCTCCACGCCTGGCTCCGCGTACTAGAGTTGTACTACAAAGTCGCCAGCTTCCAGCTCCACAGACACTCCGCGTACTAAAGTTGTACTCAAAGTCGCCAGTTCTCAGTGCCTGCCACGAAATCTGCACATGGAGGTTCACAAATTGCTGCGCCTGCCACGAAATCTGCGCATGGCGGTTCACAAAGTACTGCGCCTGCCACGAAATCTGCACATGGACGTTCACACAGTGCTGTGCCTGCCACGAAATCTGCACATGGAGGTTCACACAGTGCTGTGCCTGCCACGAAATCTGCGCACGGAGGTTCACAAAGTGCTGTGCCTGCCACGACATCTGCACACGGAGGTTCACAAAGTGCTGCGCCTGCCATGAAATCTGCACGGGAGAGGTTCATGGCTGCGCCTGCCACGAAACTGGACATGGAAGTTCGCAAAGTGCTGTGCCTGCCACGCAATCTGCGTATCGAGGTTCACTAAGTGCTGCGCCTGCAACGAAATCTGCACACGGAGGTTCACAAAGTGCTGCGCCTGCCACGAAATTTGCACCTCGAGGTTCACAAAGTGCTGTGCCTGCCACGAAATCTGCGCATGGAGGTTCACAAAGTGCTGCGCCTGCCACGCAATCTGCGCATCGAGGTTCACAAAGTGCTGTGCCTGCCACGAACTCTGCGCATGGAGGTTCACAAAGTGCTGTGCCTGCCACGAATTCTGCGCATGGAGGTTCACAAAGTGCTGTGCCTGCCACGAATTCTGCACAGGGAGGTTCACAAAGTGCTGTGCCTGCCACGAAATCTGCGCATGGAGGTTCACAAAGTGCTGCGCCTGCCACGAAATCTGCACACGGAGGTTCACAAAGTGCTGTGCCTGCCACGAAATCTGCACATGGAGCTTGACAAAGTGCTGCGCCTGCCACGAAATCTGCACCTTGAGGTTCACAAAGTGCTGTGCCTGCCACGAAATCTGCGCTTCAACAAACAACTAAATCCTCTAATCACAATGGAGGGACGATTCCGAGCGTGATCCGAGCATGACCGAGACCGTCTCGCAACCGTCGTTCCGCAGAGCTAGACTTGCCAGGTTCGAAGCCACCGGTTCTATTGAAAAATACAGCATTTCGTGCATCCGCTATCTCTCGAAAACGCATTTTGTATTGCGCCTGCCACGAAATCTGCAAAGTCCTGTGCACGAAATCAGCACATGGAGCTTCATAAAGTGCTGCGCCTGCCACGAAATCTGCACTTCAAGTGAAAACTCTAACCACAATGGAGGGACGATTCGAACATGACCCGAGCATGACCCGAGAATGACCCGAGACCGTCTCGCAACCGTCGTTCCGCGGAGCTTCCCCGTCGAGGTTCGGAGAAGCATGGAGGTTCACAAACTGCTGTGCTTGCCACGAAATCTGCACATGGAGGTTCACAAAGCAAACGAACTCTGCGCATGGAGGTTCACAAAGTGCTGTGCCTGCCACGAAATCTGCACATGGAGGTTCACAAAGTGCTGTGCCTGCCACGAAATCTGCACATGGAGGTCACAAAGTGCTGCGCCTGCCACTTAAACTGGAGCTAGAGCTATTGAAACTAGAGCTACCTGGAGCTAGAGCTATTGAAACTTGAGCTACCTGGAGCTAGACCTCTTGCAACTAGAGCTAACTGGATGATGAGTGGTGTATGTTGAGTGGTGTATGATCAGTGGTGTATGATCAGTGGTGTATGATGAGTGGTGTATGATGAGTGGTGTATGATGAGT